GAACTGCAAAGTGTGGCAGGCAACAAAAAGGTTACAGGCCACGCCCCCTAGCCCCCAAAATAAAGCCAATTTCACAAATCACCATTTGGGTGGATATCGAACGGCGCAGCGGCGAAACGGATGTGCCCCCCTTTCGGGGCAGCCCCCGAAAGGATTCCACTGTCTCTCAAGGAGGGTCTTTGTCAATAATTTACAGCAAAGCGAAAACACTTTGGAGAGCTCTGGCCTGGCCTCCAGACATGAAATATTTCCCAATTTTCCGACACAAATTCTTTTTGAGTCTATTTTTGGGTTTGCCGCCAGGTCCGATTGTAGTGGGAAAATGTCAACCTTTTCGCTTGGATTCTCTTCGCTTTGGGTTCGTTTGTGCTCCGTTCTGGTGTGGTCTGTTGTGCTCCTTATCTGGTCGCCCAATCTCCTTATAAACGATTGTTTTAATCGCAGCGACAGCAAAAACAATTTGCCCTTAACTAAACGCGCAACATCGCGGCAAATTCATTTTTTGGCACGCACATCGCACAGGCCCGTGAGCCCCCATGGAAACCAGAATATATTCACAAAAATCGAGGGGATATACGAGTAATTAGGATACATTTCTCACTAAGTGAAAGCACCGTGGAATGAATGATAGAAAGAGGGGCAAAAGTGCTTTCATCAAGTATATACAAAAATTAAACATATTTTTGCTTTAATAAGAATCTTCGGAATAGCTTTTGTATCTTTATCTTAGTATTAGAATCTTAAAAGAGAGAAATATTTCTTGATATTTTCTGTTTTTGAAGACCCAATAGGAGAATCTTTTCTGATTTTTTCCTCTGTCTTCCTCCGTTTTATGTGTTTTCAATGGGGACCCCGTTCTCTGGTTATCTGTTGAAGATAGGAACCAATTTGATTTTTGATTTTTACTCTCACTTTTATCCCAGATTTCCCTGCCTTTGCCCCACTGCTTTGAATCTACGCAAATCCACCGTAGCCGCCGCAGACTAAATCTGAAATATACCTTTTTGCATATAATATATATTGTATAATAAATTGTAGAATATTTATGTGTAAAAATAAATTTCGTTTAATTATTATTCAAAAGAGGCAGAAGTCCACGCCATTGGACCGACGGCTAGTCCTCATGCGGCAAAACTCGTAGATTTACTTCAGATATTTTATTCTTGACATTATTGATAAATGTTTTTCTGGCACTGGCAGCAGCAAAAACAAAAGAAAACACACACAGAAAAGTACCGGGAAAATTATATAGAAAACTCACGAAATCAGAGACTGCAACGAATCGGAGGAACCAACTTCTCCGGAACCAACTCCTCGATCCCCCTTGCCTGTAATTAAAGAGCTAATTCCCTTTCAACAATCCGAGCGTCATGTTTTTGGTCTTAACTGATGATTAATTGGTTGGAGCCGACTGTGGTGGGGTGGGGTTCCTTCGTCTAGGGCCGACCCCGGCGATATATAATTTTCTCACGAAATCTCATCGAGGGCTTACTCATGCCTAGAGGTCATCACAATTTTGCTGATTATACGACTAACTCTGAACGGAACCTGGGGCCAGACCGCGTCCAGAGCTCTCGAAGAAATGCCAATTTAAGTCCTTTAATTTCATATTAGGCTCCGGACTCTAATTGCACACACACTCTCACACAAGCACTCCGCCGAATGGCAGAATGGTAGGGGGTTTTCCCTACATGCAAGTTTGTTGCCGTGCGTTCCTGGACATGCACAGAGCCCCCCCGCTCCCGCCAGTGGAGGCTACCGAATGTTGCATGCAAGATGGTCAAAACTACTTGCCGCGTCGATAGCCGCAACTTGTTGTAGCCTTGTCTCCTCGCCAGCGAGCGTCGTGTGGCCTGACCAAATAACCTTTCCATGACTTTCCCAATTTATCATTCGCCACTCGAGCTCGAGTGCCACTGCAGGAAAATGCACATGCTAAAAAGCAACTATAACGATTCCTTCAAGTTCATTTGCTAATGTACACCTTGATTTTGCATTGGCGACACTTTTGGGGGTCTTTTGCGCCTTGGACTTTGACTGCGGCTCCGACTCTGACTCCGTTACGTATACGCAATGTGCGGGTCGGCTAAGGTCTGCATGTCATGTTGCCCCCGGCGCAAAACAGCGCAAAAAACAAGCTCCTGAAAACATAAAAGCAACTACGAAATGCTAAACCTCACGAACATATTATAATAACTCATGCGTGGTTAGGTTTAGGACGTCATTGGCCGGGTGTACCTAAGGCCCTTTCCAGGGGGAGGATTATAATTAGAACGTTTGAGTTTTTGAGGAATTCGCCAAGAGCTGTCGTCCATTAGGCAGTGGACATTATGTTGGATTAATAGTGCATAGTTCAAAGTGATTAGAGAACTGAAATTTCGCAAGGGAATGCTAAGAATAAGGATCATTTTTACGTAATATACTCAAAGATTTCTGGATGCGGAGGTAAGGTGCTAAGATATTTTGGATCTCTCCAGAGTAATATGGAGAAGCAAATCACCTAAGAAAATACAACGATAACTTTCTGAATTACTTTCGTTTTATAAACAAAAAGGGTGTCATTTTCTAGATCTTTTATAAAATCTAGTACATTTAAGATATATGTACTATTGGAGGATCATAATGGCCATGAGGGCTAATATTATAGCTATCTTCAGGTTAACCCTAACATATAGAAAGTTTTTTGGTCATTCCATTGATCATATCATAATAGAGCTATAGACCATAACAAATAGCCAGAGTCTGTCAGGTTTCTGTCAGCTCCACTAGTTTCTTCACACATTCGACCGATTTCCATTTGGTTTTCGAACAGTTTTATTGCAAAACCATACACCCACTCGACCTCTATCTGCATATACATATTGACGACCATCAAATATGGTTTATGGGGCCATTAAAAGAGCTCCCTAACAAGTCTCTCATTAGAAGAACATGAAATGCAGTAATACCTCTATTCGAAGGCACGCTGTAGAGTATAGCCAGTACCCCACTCCCACTCTCAAACCCCGAAAGACCCATATGACGATAACAATGACCTATCTAAAGCCAAAGGAAGAACGAAAAAGTCATTAGTCGGGGCGTCATCATCATCGGACCTTATTCATTATTCAACTCTCGAGACAGCTGAAGGAGGAAAAGAGGAAACACTTTGGGGCACCCTGTATACCGCCGGCAAATATGCAAATTTACGCACATCAAAAAGTGAAAGTTCCAGAGGAGACCATTAAAATACCGAAAACATGGGAGCCTAGAAAGTCGAAAAAAAAATCAATGCAGGCCACCGAAGCATTGCGGTCAGTGGAGGAGGGATGGATGGGATCCTTTGATGGAGGAGTGGAGGAGGCAGGTGCCGATGGGGAACCCAGCGGGTGGCAGGTTCGCTTGAGAACACGATTAAACCGCTCTGATTATGGGTTACGGCCCGTTTCGTATGGTACTCGAAAAGCGCCAAAAAACTTCTTCTAAAAAGTTGCTCAAGTCCGTGGTCCGAGACTATTGATGACGGCTCCTCTGCACGCAATCCATGACATCACCGAGCACGAGTGCTAGTCGGTGCTCCTTCGGTCTCCGGTTCGGTGTCGGGTTTGTTTTTCTTCTCCAAATATTGCACCTAGGCTAAGTGACCCACAATTAGTGTGAGTGCCCCACACCCCACCACACCACACCACATATAAGGGTAGTTCTTACATCAGCCCCGGGCATCCCGTCCCTCGGCAGTAGATGGCACCCTCGCACAAGGCCTGGAGGTAGGAGTACCTACCACAGGAATTTCGCTCTATGCAACCTGCTAAATTATTCTAATAACTTCTGTTTCTGCTGTTGCGCCCATCAAGAGCACTGAACTTGTGGGGACCTCTCCTACGGCTGGGGGCTCGGAGTTCAGTGAGTGACATTCTTTAATTGGAATTCAAATTAAAAACTTGACCGATTTAATCGCATTTCGCTCATTGTATTATTAAAATGCAATTATTTTGGTTTCGCATTCTGAGGCGAGTATTACGGACATGCAATTTTCAATTGTTTGAAATGAAAATCCCCATGGCCTTTTCGATTAGTCACTTAGAAATCTCTCAGACTTTTTCCAGAAAAACCCAATAGGATTTTAATTTTCGCTTCAGCTTTTAAGTATACAATCATCTTAGTCTATAGGACTCTAAATTATTTATATTTAACGAAAAATTCAGAACATAAAATCATATTTAATGGGGAATATGGTTAGAAGCAGATGCAAGCTACCTGCAATAAAGGTTTATGCATGGGAGAAACCATCTTTGTTCCATTTAATTGATAGTTTGAAGGAATCATACAAGTTCGTAAGGTTTCACAGTTTGAGAGTTTCGCTTTGATTCTGTCTTTTCCATAAATAAGCCACTTGAAAGCCACAAACCACTTCTTGGCCAGTTTTACACTCCAGTAAGAAACAAATAAACAAGAATAAAAGTTTTGAAAAGATAACATCAGCAAATAGTGCCACAATATATTCCTAGTGGTTACACCACCCCATACCCCATTCCACCAAATAAGCCATAAGCCCCTACAAAATGTTTCGCGTTTTATCGCGCGGCACGTGTCCTGAATTTACACGAAATGAGTGGCTTCCGTTCTCATGAATGAAAAATTACTTACCAAAGTATCAAACAATAAGGCCTGAGAGCCTGCTCATGGGGATTGGGATTCATGGATTTTCAATTTTCGCACTTAAGAGGTAGGGCTAAGACCCGCAGAGCATGTACTAGCCTAATCTATGACTAATTATCAGAGAAACTGGAACGTGAACGTAAACGTAACCGAAAGTCAATGTACCACAAAAAGGAGGTTAATTCTATGCAATTTCGGATGGGGGCACCCTGTCTTGGCTCCGTGATTACTTTCCTGTTGGCAGCAGACGTATTAATTACAAAGCGGAGTACATTAGGTCGTCAACCACTCTCGCTCTACGCTTTTCTGCATAATGCTAATCGCTGGACATAAATGGATCGATCCCATGCACGTGGAGCAAATAGGGCATATTAGGTTTTGTATATTGTATGCGTGTAGGTAGGGATAACATTTGACAGAGTACAGAGACTTTAACTTGGATCGTGGCAGACGGCTCCTTAGTTGGAGAGCTGGGAATTGGACAAGTTTGAATTGGATAGATTGGAGCTGTGCTCCGAGTCGGAAAGAGCAGCAGTCGCCTGCTGTTGCTGTCCCGGTTGCTGTTGCTGTTGCTGCTGTGAGAGGTGTGGATGATGGGGCTGCTGTTTTGCTTGAATGGAGGTGCCCGACTCGTAGTTGATGCGGATCCACTGACCCTCGCTGTTCTCCTTCCAGAGAGTGACGTTGTTGTCGCCGCCGGTGACGGCCAGTATGTTGCCTGTGGTCGACCAGGAAATGCTCCAAACGGCATCGTCGAATGTGTGCAGGACACTGGATGTCCACTCAGTCAGATCAGCATTGCTGCTCCAGATGATAACGTGACGGTCCTGCGAGGCCGTGGCTATCTGCGATCGTGGCAGACCAATCGATGGCGCCCAGGCCACATCGCGTACCCAGTCGGAGTGGGCCTCCAGACGCTCCTCTTCCACCCAGCGATCATTGTCCTCACGCCAGATCTTCACGAGATTGTCGCAGCCACCGCTCACGAGGCGCTTGATGGCCGTATTGCGCGAGTTGGCGCGCTGATCGAATGCCGGATCTGGGCCCTGCGCCGGGCACCACGAAATGGCATTCACTCCAATGGTGTGAGCATTTGGTATTTTCTTGGCATCCCAAGTCCCGTACTCCGTGTTGCAGGTGAGCACCGAAATAGAGCCATCGGAACTGGCGCAGGCCAGCACCAGACCGTACTCAAAGGGGGCAAAATCCACAGAGTTCACCGAGGAGTCATGGTTACTGTACTCGTAGCTGAAATGTGGCAAGCGATGGCGGCAGCCATTAGAAGATAACGTCATGCCTATGTGCGACTGTGTGCGTTGCGTTTTCACTTACAGCTTGGTCCAGTCCTTGGGCGTTGTCGATTTCCACACAATCACCTTGCGGTCGTACGAGCAAGAGGCCAGGATGTTGCCAAACTTGGGATGTGCCCATGCCACCTGCCACACGGGCCCCTGGTGGCTTTTGAGTTCGGCAAGAGCCTTGTTGTTTTTGCGAGAGTGGAAAATGCGGACGCTACCGTCGGACGAACAGGTTGCCAACAGCAGGCCGTAGAAGTCCAGAGCGGCGTGGTGGACCATGTCCTCGTGCTCTGTGTCTATTTCCTGCAGCAGGCTCACCATTTCGACTGAGTTATATTCAATTTAATTCAAATTAAAAACAAAAAGTCGTATTTTTCCGGTTCTTGACGTGGAATTTGTTGGGTCGTTCAGTGTTGGAAAAAACAAGTGTTGTAAACCATCCAAAAGAGCTGCGTTTTGCTCATGAGTGAACGAACTGAATAAGTTCACCTTAACCCACTTAACCCTAAATCAAAAAATCTCTATTTGAATAGGCTTGAACAGGGAAGGAAATTCTCCTTGTAGATATTTTCTTTCTTCTCTAAATTTTCGCCACCTGGTACCTAAATCAAAAAATCTCTATTTCAACAGGCTCGAAGAGGGAAGGCGCGGAATAACATACTTTTTGCAAATTCTTCTTGTAGATCTTTTCTTTCTGCTCTAAATTTTCGCTACCTGATTCAAGTTATCCTCCTCTCCCTTTAGGTAGGGCCAACTAATTTTCGGTAGCAATTTTCAAGGGTAAAATCCCAGATTAAAAACTTGGAGAAATGTGACGATTTTTCCACCTGCAATATAATACCGATTGCATTTCGATTACGTAGCGTCCAAAGATATTAAACAAATTTTCAAATCTAATGAATATGATTTATTCTATAGTGTACACGTTATCCTCTTCCTCCTTCATGTAGGCGTTAAGTCTACAGGCCTGCGTCTCGGCCCATAGAAGCCTGGTCATTTTCTGCTCCACTGCCTCGGCATCCTCTGGAGACAATTTATTTAATTCCGAATCCCAGTATGCGCATATGGGTCTAGTCTGGGGAGCGGGCATAGCCGACGACCTGTGCACAACCTGAGGAGCGGGCCTAGCCGGCGGAGGACTGGGCCTAGCCGGCGGAGGACTGGGCCTAGCCGTGGGAGCGGGTATAGCTGGCAGACTGGTCCTCGTCTGCATACTGCGTTTTGCCTGCGGACTGGGACTTGGCGGCATACTGCGTTTTGCCTGCGGACTGGGACTTGGCTGCTTATTGCGCTTAACTTGCGGACTGGGTGTAGTATCCGGCTTAACGAGCTCTCCCACAAAAACGGTAGAAATATTTGCCGTGGAACTGTAGAAAACACGCAACATAAAAATCCATTTATAAGTAAAATATCCATAATACATACCGTTTCTGCGGAGATGGATACAGGAATTCCATGTGTGGAGCAAACCGCCATTTTACACCGTCGTTTTCCTTTGGGCTCTTATCAGACAATGGGTCCCATTCATCACTTCCTCTCCTGACAGTCCCCTTTCCAGCTAGTTTCATATGGTAGCGGTAGCTGTCCCTCAACGATTTCCAAGCGTTTTTGCAAGTAAACACTGAAAAACATACATATAACTACACATTCCAATAAAAATCAGTTTAACTTACCATCTCTATTCATCTCAGAGGCCACAGCCTCCCATGAGCTCCTCAGCGCATTGCCATCGAAATGTTTTTTATTCCTCACATCCCATATAGCAGTCCTTTTTTGAACAGCATTGATGAGTTTCAGTTTGTCTTTATAATCGAATTCTTCTAGCCGTCGTGCTCGCGTGTAGCCCTCGCCGTCCATTTTGCTTGTGTTTTGTCAGTTCGCTAGCGAAAAGTAGAAAATATATTTTTTTTCTTCACTCTCGTCACATCTGTAGATAAAGATTTCTTATCGATTACGATTCAAAAAGCAGCCCTGTTTTTGCTAGAAAAAACAAGCCAGGGCTGCTAATACCTCTTTTCACGCAAAATGCAATAAAAGAAAGTGGTTACTTTACGCCAGTTACGTTGAAAATAGATTTATTAATTGGATAAAATTAAGTGGGCGGGGCTGACAGATTTATATAGCTAGTAATATTCCACGGACTATACAAATCGAGGAATATAGAAGTTGAATTAGTATGGTCTATTTTGAAAATGAGACGGTATATTTCGGTATATTTCTAATTGTCAGACCGTATACTTCATCGATATCGCGGTCACACTGTCAATCACTTTTCAACAAAAAAGTTTGCAACGAATAAAAGGTAAAAACTATATAGAAAAAATATAGAAAAGGATCTGGAAGGTCTGTTCTAAATGACTTCGTGAACTATAACTAGCGAAAGCTTTGGATATCTTTGTGAATTAGCAAAACAACACCACATATTACATAACCTTTTTAAGGTTACATTGGAGAGGATAGCTGAAATTCGCGCAATTCTAAGATATTCTATTTACCTGCAGATGCTGTCGCAATCAATTCTGACTGGTGTGCGTGTGCTCCGCACGGAGGCTCGACGGAACTTTGGCCTGGCTGCCCCAGCCCTGAACAAGGTGTCCGATCCCATCCAGCAGCTGTTCCTCGACAAAGTGCGCGAGTACAAGCAGAAGAGCACGTAAGTGTAGATGGGAAAAGTCTTCCATAGAATCCATTCGTAATCATCTCTGTTTCTAACGCTGCAGCGGTGGCAAACTGGTCGATTCGAATCCCGAGATTGAGCGCGACAGGAAGACGGAACTGGACCGTGTGGCCAAGCAGTTCGGCAGCGATGGCAAGACCGATATGCTCAAGTTCCCCGAATTCACGTTCCCCGAGGTCAAGATTGATCCCATCACCCAGAGCGCCAACTAAACTATCCGCAGATATATTCGTGTGAATTAGTTAAATTGTTTTTAAGTTCTCCCTTCCTCTGCTTAGAAAGAGAGTGCGCTCCCACAGGAGAGGATTGCATCCACAAATAAATCCGGAAAACATCAAGAAGCGATTGCATTTAGGTAGATATATTGAAGATCTACAGAGATATATATTGGTGCTGTGTATCCTTAAATAGGACGCAATGGGTTCCGTGGATTTCTAAGTCCTGAGGCTCTGTGGGATATTAGAAGCCCTAATGTCTCTTATAACGCTTATGTACTCGTATATTTAGATGCTATCGATACAAATGATTTCCTTAATCTAAGACGAAGAACGAAACAAAACCCTATCTGGGGGTATCGATGGCCTGCTGCACTGTTTGCTGGAGCAGCTGCATCTTGTGGTTTGTGGCCACCTTGCTGAATGTCTGGAGCAGTGTCTGGATGTCCTTGCCGCTGATGAGGGGCACAAAGTTACCCGCACAGGTGCAGAATTCGGCCAGATTCTCGCGCTTGATCTCGTTGCAGCGGGCACAGCGCAGATCCTGCAGTACGAAGGACATCATCTTGCGCTGCAGGGCATCCAGCATGCGCATCTCAATCTCCTCGTTGTCGTAGGCCACATAGCACTGGGCGCACAACCAGACAGGTCTAGAAAGAATTTTTCAATTAAGTGGGATTCGAAAGAGCAATGAAATGGGGTTTCCACTCACATGCCATCCTTCATGGCGCGATGCTTGTCCTTGCAGAGATCCAAATCGCGACAGTGATTGCAAGCCTTGCAGATGACCTCGTTGATGATGTAGCTGTCGCAGGGATCCTGCCACTCGGCCATGTCCGAGAACTCGCCGATGCCCACGAGACGCAGCATGTTCCGCCGCAGCTCGTTGATCTGCTCCGCGAGGGTCTTGTCCACACTCAGCACCTTGATCATGGTGCGGATCAGCTCCAGTCCCGGACTGGGCTTCCCCTTGCCATAGTTCTTGTGCAGCTTGAGGATAAAGTCAAAGGCACAGTGCGAGATGTCTCTGATGGCCTGCTCCGTGGTCTTCCGCTCGGCGAGGGACTGCATGAAGAGAGTAATGAGCGACTCGAATTTCTCCCGGCATTCGTTCTCCTCGGGCAGCCGCTCCCCGATGGTCCAATTGAGCTCTAGAGCTAGCTCATCCTCTGCCTCTGGCTCTTGGTCAGCATTGGCTGAGGGATCCCTGTTCTCCTCCTCATCATCATCATCATCATCGTCGTCATCCTCCTCGCGATTTCTATCCCTCTCCTGCCGCATGGTGGTGGACACAATGGAGGACACTGTCTCATCTATGCCCTTGGGCAGCTTCCCACGGATCCCGGAGAAGTTGGCCTGGTCCAGCCAGAGCATAAAGTTCCAGCACTGCTCGAAGGACAGCTGAATCGAGTGGAACATTTCCTTGTTCCTCAGGCTCTGGACAATGTAGTCCACATAGCCCAGGGCATCCGACACGGTCTTCTTCCCTGAGCTGAGGATAATCCGATTGAAGTCCGCATAGACGATGGTGGCGCCCAGGCGCTTGAACTCCGCTATGATCCGCAGGAACATCTTTCGCATGAGATTGTTGAGGGATCTCCTCAGGGCAGGATCGTAGAGCAGGGCATTGCTGGACCGCACCCAGCGATAGAAGTGCACGATCTGAAAGTCGGAGAAGATGTTCCGATTGATGGACACCTCCCGCAGCCAGCCGTTCACCATGGAACGCATCACGCGAAAGGCCGCGGAGCAGAGGGCCGTCTCATCGTAGCTGGGGAGAGTGGCCGCCGGCACAGTGCCGATCATCTCCTCCAGGGAGGCCTGTGGCATCACATCGAAGGTGATGGCCGAGGAGGCGCCCTCCATCTCCTGAATCTTGTTCGACTGCAGCAGCGCACTCACTGCCAGGCTGTCCAGCGCCAGTTCTACACAGACATCCGGATAGAAGCCCGCCTTGTTCTGCACCACGCTGATGTTCTCCTCGAATTCCGCCAGTAGTCGACTGTCGTCCGCCTCGCGTCCGCCCAGATCCGGCCTCGTACTCGCGGACCACCAGAGCACAAAATTGTGGCGCTGCAGAAGGCGGGCGAAGAACAGATCCGCTCCAAAGAGAACTGTGTCGGGGGGCATGTTGCCAATGGGTACGTGGAAGTACCGACACTGATCCAGCATCAGATCGAGGACATTGTTGAGGTTCAGGAAGTGCCGAACCACGGCCCTGGTGCCCTGTCGCTGCCAATCCAAGCCCGAGAGCAGGCTGGCATCATCCGAGATGTGGATCTGGGCCTGGGGAAACTCCAACAGAATGGGCATGGCCAGCGAGAGTTTTCTCGCCTCCAGCGCCGTCTGCAAGCAGATCATGGTGGGTCCCTGGTGCTCCTGCTTGTAGGTGGTCAGGGCGCGCTGAATGTGCCTGTAGATCTGCTTGACATCCACTTCGATGACCACCTCAAAGGTGTAGTCCTCGGCTGGTATCTTCTCCTGCTCCGCCGCCGTGAGATTCTTGAGTAGAGCCAGCCGCTCGGCGGCGTACATCTGCCGGAGATTGGGCATCTGATTGGCACGCACCGTGTCCAGGGCGAAGATGTAACCCTTCTTGCTGGGCATCAGTATGAGCGACCAGATTTCCTTCTTGGCCGTCGGAGTGTTGTGTTGATACAAGTAGATCTTCCGCATCCGCGCATTGGCCATCGCCAGGTACTGGACCTGCGTCTGGGGCCGCTGTTCCAGCTGCTCGATGCTGAAGCTCTCCAGCTCCTTGGTGGAAAGCATGGCCAGGCGACGGGACTCCTCGCGCTGCACGCCACAGATGCAGCCCATGTCCATGAGGGCTCGGAATTCCAGCGTCATTTGCGTCTCGTAGATGCCCTCGATGTCTGGCGTGGCCAGATCCGCCAGCATTCCCAGGGAATTATCACGAAAGAGCTGCTCGGGCACGCTGTATCGATACAGATTGAACATGGGTCGGGAGCGGGGAAGCACGCGGTTCACCTTGCGCCACAGTTGTCCCTCCTCTGGAGGGGCAGCGCTCCTCTGATTCACATAGAAAATCCTGGGCACCGTGAGCTTTATCCGATGCAACTCCTCTCCGATGAGAGCCCACACGGTAAAGTGTCCCAAATCATCGACTGGCACTAGCTGCAGGATCTGCCAGGGCTGGTCCAACAGCGTGCGCTGTGCACGCCTCAGGAATCCTCCCAAAGTGGCTGTGGCTCCGGGGGCCCTGGGGATCGGTGCCTCTTCGTTGCGCACCCGCTTGGAGGCCTGTCGCGATCGCTGGCGCTGCTCTTGCTGCCATTTCCACTTCTTCTTCTGGAAACGCACCCACTCGACGATGGTCTTGCGGGTGTCGCCAATGGCCGGTGGGGCGCCCAGAGCCTGTCTCCAGGTAGTGGCCTGCGGCGTCTCCTCCTCCTCGCCTTCCTCCAGTTGGACTCGTTTCCTCTTTGTGACCATTGGCAAGCCTGTGGGGTCCTCAATTTCCTTGCCCGCGAGATCCTCCATGTCCCGCAGCTCCAGTTGCTTGTCCTCCAGCGCCGGCTTCGGTTTCGGGCGACTCGTGAAGATCTCATTGATGCGCCGCTGCTTGAGGACATCGTTCTTCTCCAGCATCTTCTTGTGCAGCCAGTCGGGATGCTGGACCCTCGGCACGGGATTGGCCAGTCCCTGCAGGGCCGCTGGAATAGTGATGATCTTCTGTATGGTGCCACCTAACCGCTCGATGTAGTAGTTCCAATCAAGGACATCCCTGATGTCCGCGTCACCCATGGTGTTGTCCTTGAGCCAGCGACGGAGATGATGCCGCCGCACACTCGCCTCCGACTGAAAGATGGCCAGCGGAATGGCCCGCTCCGTGACGGGAGCACCTTCGGGTTTCTTGGAGATGATGTATTTGCAGGCGAGACCCGCATCCTTGACCATTTGCTCGCCCAGGAACTCGGCCAGCCGCTTGGCCGTCGAAATGGAGGTGCTCTTCTGGGCGCCGTACTCCTCCAGCTTCTTCGACATCGACTTGTTCTCGGCAATCAGCTCGAATAGCTCCGAGTCGGGCAGATTGGAGCCGCGACTGTAGAGGACATCCAGCCAGTAGTCGGCCACTTTGGCCACCGATCCATAGCACTCCTCCAAGGTGCTGCCCGCCAGGAAGGCCTCGAACACGGAGCTCTGGAAATTCTTGATCAACTGCAGTTCGCCGCGACGCTTCACCTCGAAACCCTTGAGCTCCGCCAGGGATCCATCGAAGTTGAAGACTGCATAGCGTTTTTTTAGCTTCTTGCCCTCCTCCTTGGCGGCGGGCAGGACCATGGCGAGATAGGGACCATCCACCTCAAAGAAAATGGAATTCTCATCACGGATGTCATACTGGGGAGCGGGATATTCGCCCTCTTTATCCTCGTTCTTCCTCAATTCGTGGTACTGATCGTTGGTAAAGTGATCCTTGACCATTGTATTGAGCACTGCATTCGGGTAGGAGATGTTGATCTTCTTTTTCTTCTCGTGGCTCGTTTGCACGGTGAACTCCTGCGGAAAGGATCCTGGCAGTATGCACCATATACCATCCGTGTCCAGTTCCAAGGGACGACCCACCCGCTCGATGATCTCCCGCGCCTTGGTGATGATATTCGATCCCGTGAGGCAGACAATACCCGCCATGGGCATCGAGTGCCAGCGAGCACCTCGTCGCATCACATAGCCGTAGAAGGAGTTCAGGATGCACTTGTGGGCCAGCTGCAGGGAATCGTAGAGCACCTCTCTGCCCTTTGCCGCCTTGATCTCGGCTGCATCCCCCGAGGCCACAGCGGACGTGACTGAGGCCTTGGCCACCTTCGTGAGACCCTTGTACTCGTATCGGCGGTCCCTGAAGGCGCGCACCGTGTCCACATAGAAGCTGTTCTCCTTCTGGCAGATGGTCGAGTTGCGGGTCTCCAGTTTTGTGAGCTTCGTCTTCTTGTATGCCTTGCGGCAGTAGTCTGACAGACGCTTCTTCTCGTACGCCGCCTGGTCCTCCTTGGAGAGCTCGTGGAAGGCGCGCGTCGGTCCGCCCGGGAAGAGCGATGGAAACTTTTCCGTCTCCAGCTGCTGCTGGATCCGCTGGAACTCGTTGCGCGACGCAGGCAGCATCTCTCCGCGCCACAGCCAGTCCATGGAGCGTTTGCACCGGACCCCGGGCTTGTTGAAGTCACAGGCGGCACAGTCCAGGTCGCTGACCATCGCCGAGGGTTGCAGGCGATTCGTCAGAATGATATTGGGGTACATGGCACCCACATCCAAATGATAGATGACCGGCTGCTCCAGACGATTGGGTATGTCGTGAAGGCCCTGCAAGCCTTGGAGAATCTCCTGTTTGACTTCCTCGAGATTCAGGACCTGCTCCATGGGTATGCCCTCCTCCACGACGATGGCATGACGCAGGACACCATCGATTTGCTCCATAAGCTGCTTCACCATCGTGGGATCCAGCCGGAAGCGACAGGGGATATCCGCCCGAAACACACCAGACTCCAGAGCTTCCACATGGCCGCCGACATAGGTCTCGGAGTCCAGGACATGACCCTCGTTGGAGAGCTTGTTCAGCTCCGCCTGTTGCTTGTTGGGATAGACGATGTTCGCGTGGTAGGCCTCCACCATGAGCAGCGTCTCACAGAGGGTGCCCGAGCCCTTGCGCAGAATCTCGTCGGGTTCCATGGGAATGATGGTGTTCAGGGCAAAGATGAACGGATGCACGTACTTCATGTAGAGGTAGTACGTGGCCACCGCATCCGACACCGAGTAGTTGGCCAGCACCTGGGGCTGCTCTACGGCCATGCGGCACATGTCCTCGGGATCCAGCTCCACGGGATCGTAGCGCAGTTTGGCTTTGGCCACAGCCTTGAGGCCCTGAGAGCCCACCGGTAGGTATGAGTCACGTTTCACCCAGCAGAGGCAGTCCATGTGGATGGAGGGGCGACTCAGATAGATGCCATCCCGCATCTTGGAGAAGCCAATCTCCTGCTTCATATCCAGGTCGTAGACGGCGGCACGCGTCTCCACAAAAGGCCAGTCGAAAAAGTCCCCGTTGTAGGTGACAATGATGTGGGGACGCACCTCCATGATGTGATCGAAGAACTTCTGCAGGAGCTGCATCTCGTTGTCCTCGTTGTAGACCACGAAATTCCCCTCGAATTCCGGCTTTGGGGTGTACTCAAAGTCGTCCACATTCGAGGAGATAATCTCCCGGTTGGTTATCAGAAATCCCTGGCCATCGATCATGTAGGATATCATCATTATCTGATCCGTTTGGGCATCGGGAAACTTCAGCGGCAGCTTAGTGGTCTCTATATCGAAGGCCAGGACCACGGGTTCGGGTCTGTCCAAGATATCCGGCCTCGGCGAGATGTGAGGCATCTCCACGCCGCTCCTGCAGCGAATGTTGTACCACAGCCCGCAGAATATTCGCAGATCTATGGAGACCCTCACATGGTAGGGCACATCGTGCTCGCGTATGTCCATGATGCAGTCCATGTAGTCCTGCTGCCGCTTGCCCAGCCCCTCCTCCGTGTTCGCCGAGGATTGGGCCAAGGATGTCGCCAGCATTTGCATGTAGTACGTGTTGGATTTCTGCCGCTCCGTGTTACGCCGCACGGCGGCCATTAGCTCGCGACGCACCTTCGTCATGGCCGTCTGGTTGAGGAACGAGAGCTTCAGGTAGTTCTGCTGCAAGCCTGACAGATGGTTGGGCAGGTCCAGATCCTCTTTGGATATGTGCTCCAGGCTGGCGATCTGTCCGGAGTATTTGCGCCCCAAGAAGCGTGCCACCTCCAGGTGCATGTTGTCATCGGGTCGCACCAGCAAATAGGGCTTGTAGGCCACTGTGCACTTGAAGCGGGATCCATCCATTTGGATAAAGAAAAGATCCAAGGCGGCTATCAACCGACGATCCTCATCCAGCACTTCGTTCTGTAAAGGGAAACTCTCTGTTTTAAAAGGGTTTTGAATGCCTTTAATGGTTTAATTCTTACCGCATGCATATTGATGAGATAGCCAGTGCGCTCCTGGCTATCCTTGACTCTATCGAAGCCATATTTTGAATCAATTTTATCATTCTCCCGCGACTGACGGTAGCCTGCCTCGTTGTAAAAGTCATCGCTGAAGGAAAACCCGCTGATAAAACGCACTTTTCCCTTAAATCCCAACACTCACCCTTCAGTTCTGTTTTCGCTAACGAATTTTCCAGTGTTTTGCAGAGTTTTGGCTTTGCCAATTTCAGCCATTTCTGCGACAGAACGTAAAATAAATATAAATAAAGATTTGCCGCCAAAAAGTGGATCGATAAGAAATCGAACTTAGCCCACCTAACCCCCCTCTATTTAAGCAGTTCAACGGTTTGAGGTAAATGACGGAAAATAATAGTGTTTGTAAGTTTTTCTCGCAGATCCATCCTATCCTTCCACTTAACTTAAAGAATCGTGGTCTTTTATATTTTCCCTAAACTGCGATAAAAGTATTACATTTGCATTATTTTCGATGGAATATTCAAATACCCCCTTGGCTTACAATGGGTTAATCGTTCTCCGTCAAGGACTGGTAGCCACATTCCTCGATTTTTATATTCCGTGGAATATTACTAGCTAGATAGAACATTTAACCATGCCCACATAATTTTATCCAATTAATGAACTTATTTTCTACGCGAATAATTTATTTTAAATACTTGCTTTTATTGGATTTTGCTTAAAAAAGGTTTCAGCGAAAAAGTTCAAGCAAAAAGAAGTAAGAGAGTAATCGTTGCCATTGCTAAATTTGAGCTTATGTTATGTTCCGTTATGTTATTATATTCATGTTATTATTTTCAATGCACCATTCACTAAGCCTAAGCCCTAAGCCTTAGTTATAAGAGTCGTGTCGTAGTTAGTTAGTTAGTAGTTATAGTTTCCAGTTTTCGGTAACCTAACGTCAGCTAATACTTTTGTTTAAGTCTTTTAAACCGTACATAAACTATGTACATACATATGTATGTATGTACATACATGCATATATATATACTATATAGCACATACAACATACGAAACCAGAAAGACAAACAAAAGACTTGGCGCGTGCCAATTTTTGACACGAAACACAAAACAAATAACGATTTTTTGGATAGAAACCAAATCAAACATATATGTACATATCTACTTATCATATTTGGATTAGAAATAATGTATGAGAACTGAGACGATTTCAGTAATGTCAACAATTATTCGAAGGGCTCCATTTTAGCTGGGGGCTCGTTAGATTATACATATGTATGTATGTATGTATATGCTCTCTGTAGTGTGTATTTGATGAATAATAGTATTATAGTAACATATGTATGTATGTATTCGCCAACAATTATTTAAAATATGTTTGTGTTTAAATGCGTAAAATCAGTCCTTAAGGGGTTAGAGTTGTATTATAATTCGAAAGAGATCCACCATCTGTTACTTCAGTTTTCTTTTGGGCTATCGCTCATCAATGACTTGGACAACGCTAAAAAGTCTCGGCAAAAACAAAAACTGGAAACTCTTCTCGGTCTCAGGAATCCAAAAACAATACACACTGCTTACATTCAAGCTTTCAATTGAATCGCTCTAGAGAACCACAGAAAAGGTATAATCTTTTTCATCCATTAGGGTCTACTAATCGTGGGAATACCGTACTCCTTGACTTTCCGTCACATCCTGACCCAATCAAACCGCAGCGAACTATCGCATCCAAAGTCAGTCGCAACATGTCAGTGTCAAGTGGTGTCCCATAGCTAGATGGGGCTTGTTTACATAAGCGATAAACAAAGAAACAAATGAAGAAAAAATGGCACACAGCTAGCCACCCCTGAAAATGCAGCTCGTTGTGGAAATCAAAAATCCATTAAAACACCATGGAAACGATGGACCCTGTTGCGAGTGTGCTGTCAATCAGCTTATACATACATATATACACGAGTGTTCGCTTGGGTGGGTGTCTCTATTGATATTGGACTTTATTTATGCGAACTTTGGACAAGCTAGAAGCCATCCCCGGAGTGGAGAGAGCCGCCACTCTTTCTCTCCCATCCGAAGCTGAACTTTTGGCATGTCAGCTGATAAGAGCCACACGCTGATGCTGATGGTCCCGCTCGTGGTCCGGGCCAAGAGTCCAATATCATGCTAATGTGGCCGCACAGTTGCATCAATTGTTTTTCAATCAAAGTGCCATCAATCTTATTGGCTGTTTGTTTAATTAACGCACGGGCCGGCATTGTCTACCTCACGAGTACGTTGGGACTCGGCAGTGGAAGTGGGAGTGGGAGTGCTTGGGTGGCAGCTGGGAGGAAAAAGAGCTCAACGTAAAATACGTAAGAATATTTCATGCCATGCCAATCCATTTGACCCCCGGTCACGCCTGATTGCCACGCATCCGAACCCCTGATGCAGCTCCCCCCTGTCCCGACTGTTCTGTGCCATTTTTCTTTCGCATTTCACTTCTTAACTTTGTCCATGTCTTTTGCGTCCATTAAGTGTGTCTGTGCTAAGACTTGGAAATTGTCTTTTGAATGTTTCAATTACACGCCTTCTTAAGCACAGCTTCTCTTTCAAATTGAGCCAGCGCCTGTCCCAGTCAGACTCCAGGACTCCGGGACTGCTCTGCTGCTTCCCTGTTCGGATGGGAGAGAGGTATCGGATCTGGGTTGCCGTTTCCTTTTCGCATCTTTCCTTTTCCTGTTCCGTTCTGTTCGGTTCGGTTTTTATGCGCCAATACTCGTAAAGTGAAATACAGAGATAGTCGAGGAATTTACTGCCTTTAGAGTAGGCTACAAGGTTTATCGTGTGCACACTGTGCATGTGTGATTCGCTCTACGTCTCCCACTGCCTTGTACTCCAACCGTCAGCCAATTTCGTTAAACACTTTTGCCTTAAACCATTAGTTTCCTATATGCTCGACTTGTACGTGCTGCTGCTGCTGGCTCCTCGATCCCAGGCCCCCCCGCTCCCCCCGCTCAATGGAAAGTTAATTTTATTGCTAAAAGCGGGTTAAGTGCTTGACGCACAGCTGAGTGCCTCCATTCTATGCCCTGCGTGGTGGGGGCGGGGCAGGGTGCTGGATGATGGGGCCAGATGGATGATAGAAATCAAATTTGCTTTATGGTATGTATGCTAATTTGGTGTCTGGTCCAGACTGCGACACGGATGAAAGAGTATCGGATCCACCCGAAGGACTTTGACTACTGCATTGCATACGATGATGCTGATGATGACGATGGGCCCCTGATTTCGAACTGAGGCTACTTACTACTCTTAGATGTTGAGATACAAATGCATACGATGGGAATTCACTTGGAAGATACTGAGGGAAGACTGTACAGTACGGATCTCCCTTGAGGAAAGCTGTGTTCCCGAAAATATTTATTTATTTCGTATTCTGGACGAAATACTTATATTTCAAGCACTTGTCACAATAAAAATTTACTGATTGATTTATTTTATTATTAATTTGAATGTAAATACTGGTATTTATCTTTCTTAATTCCTTGTAAAGTTCAAGCTTAAATTGCGTTAAATACTAGTACTCATCGCAAATGACATCAGCTCCCCTTTGGACTCACTCAAAGTGCTGGGAAAGCCATTAATATAAACACAGGCAATTTGAACATCGAAATAAATGTATAAAATGTACAGAGTCTTTGGTGATAATGCGAATAAATCAATCGAAATAGCCGCAAAATCAAATGATGCATGAATAAAATCCAAAAACCGTTCGGCGTGCCAAACAATATTTTCCAGAGGCGGAATCACCTCGAGGTCAAAGTGCACGTGCATATGTTGCGGTGGGCATTCATGTATGCGGGGTTAACACTTGGGCATATCACCAGAGAGAGAGCAACCGACATGACACTTGAAAGCAAATTAAATAGAAAATTGCGTTTTTCCAAAAGTCATCCCGGAAAATGGTTGTGAAATTTTATACATAATTGAATTTTTGGTCAGTGACAAACAGATAGATACGAGTACACTCGATCTGTGCATACAATTACCTAAACACATAGACAGTTGAGGTCAGGTCGGGTCGGGTCGGGTCGGGTCGGGTCAGCAGGGGGATGACCAGGAGGCGTGGCCCATTGGCCTGTGGCTGCTGCTGCACCACACGCCAAACAATCGGAAACCGAATGTCATCTTCAATTTCAAATTCAATTATAAAACAAATTGGTTCGAGAGCAAATACAGAGCGAGATTGAGATTGTGCGGATGGGGATGGGCAGGGGGAGGGGGAGGGAGAGACGGGACACGGGAGAGTACTCATCCTCGAGGCGATATCAAACGGCAAAATCCATTCATCCACTTTGCAATGGAATTGTGTCCAGTGTGGAATAAATGTAATGAAATGTTAACAAATGACAACAGGCTGGCAAACAAGTAGCAAAAACCACAAGGGTGGCAGCCAGCCCAGTCACCGCAGACTTCTCTCCGTCTCCGCCTCCGAGTCCGAGTCCTTCCTGACCAGCGCGCACACGGAGTCGAGTCAGAGAAGAGCTCGTCCGCCACGTATCGAATTAGTCTGATGAGATTTATTGGCTCAAGTCCCACTTGACCAACGGCCCAGACAATTATGGATTAGTACCATTTGTTCCCAGCTTCATCGGGATTTGATATTTCACATGGTCGCATGACATTGATGATGCTGATGGTGATGGCTGCCGCTGCCGCTGCCGACGACCATGACGATGACGATGACGTTGAGGATGATTATTTGGCATAATATGGCACCGATTTTCAACGCCTTTGATTGCGGGCTCTCTATTACCTAAAGGGCATTGGATTACATTACCATGCCTGGTGGCGGCCCACACACCCCCAATCCACCCCCAACCAGAGCCAAGTCATGTCCGTGTCCGTATCGGTGTCCTGGTCCGACCCACGCATGTCAACGCCGGGGCCCAGCCCCCTTGTTGCCGGTCCTTTGGGGGAATTTGTCAGAGCATCAGCAGCGTTAAGGTGCCAATTAAGGGCTTTTTAGTATCAATTACAAAATCGCACGTTTCCACACCTTTCCTTTATCAATGTGCCAGGCCGGCCTTCGTGTGTGGGCGTCCTCGCTCTCCTGTGATACCGATGCCGGTTCCACTTCCAGTTCCGATGATGATGATGCTGATGCTGATGAGCTTGGGGGCTTCTCGTATGCCTCGTGTTACGCTTCCGCCACTGACATGTTGGTCAGCATCAGCATCCACAGGGGTTTTGCTTTAGCCCCTCCGACTCCTTTCCACGCAGCT